CCATTCAGCGTTTTTTTAGAGTAAAGCCACACTGGACTATCTGCTGTTTCTGTCGCGAGAATCGAACCCTGGATTGTAGCGTTGTAAATGCGTAAACCTACCGCTGACCCACCAGGGGACACCACATGGTAGATTTAATAAAAAAAAAAGCCATTAATCTCGTATATTGATTAAACAAGTGAACATGAATAACAGGATAACCATGTTAGACTTGGTACGAGATTAAAATCCCAGGTCACCCTTTAAATTAGTTTGCATTACAAATCTCTAGGGTTAGAAAACTTTGCAAAGATTACCTTGTAAGTTTAATGATTTATCTTACTTCCTTAAAAAAAAAAATCCAATAACATGTTTGCTTAGTGCATAATTTTTTCGGAATGACCTAAGTCTTTTAAGCTCACCAGACCTCGTAAGACATTATAGGGTTTATGGTTGAAAACGTCGTTAAAAGCGAGTGTTCTCAATTGATGCATTCTTAATCATTATTATGGATTTTAATTTTTTTGTGAAATGTTCCGTAATATTAAGAAAGTCTAGTCAATTATATAAAATCGGATTTATTAACGTATAGCTAGTTTTATGCTCTGAACTAATTAGCGTATTTTTTACCAGAAATTATTAATAATTACATGAAAGCATGGTATAATAGCATTCATTACAGAACTTGTACAGTATGAACATAATGTATGTAACGTAAGTTTCTATTAGGCCTGTTCCATCACTAAGCTTTGGTAGTCTGGTGGCTAAGTAATAAATATTATTTCACAAATGTTTTCAACGATGTTTTTATTCTAAGCCAAATGACATTGTAGTTATGTACATGCCAAAATAAAACTGAATATTTTACCGAACTTCTGACATGTTTAATCATAATATTAATCTTGAGGAACGCCCCCTTGCAGAGCAATCGTTGAAACATAATGATAGAGTTCGGTTCCAGACCCAAGTGGGTAGGCTGTAAATAGGGGCTTGTAACGCTAAAATGTTGGGTTTGATCTCAGATCTTAAAGGAGGGGGTGTCTGCTAGATAACAGAAAGTTTTACTTCTCCCCTTCCTCCAGAGACAATTTCTGGTCCGAACAGAGTGGAGCCAACTCTAAAAAGACGAAAAACACTTGCGCTATGTGAACAAACTTACGGTAAAAAAATATACAAATGGTTGAGATCACTCTTGTGAACTGATTCAACATTCTAGTGAAATAGACAATAATCGAAAAAAGTGAATCGATATGGAGTTTTTGAAAAGTGATGAACTGTTTAATATTACCATAGCATCAAGTCACAGCAGTTTTAATTTCACAGAAACATTAGACCTTATGGCAAAACTCCAAACTAATGGAAAAAATTGTGTTTAAGTAATGAAGTTCCAGAGGGGAGGGGATGTTCAGCCCACACCTCTAAATCTTAAGTCTTTCTTTTCTGACCCAGTGTTGAAAATGCCTAGCTTTTTCAGCACTGTAACTCCCTTATCCAGACTAGAAAAATAAGTAAAATTATTTCATCGAAAATATAAATATTTTTATCTATAATCATAGCAAAATATAATTACCTTCAAAAACTATATGTAAATACAACCTATATGTGGTAATCTATCAGAAAAAGAGGAGCATTTGTATGAAAATATGACCCTTTCCCAGCTGAAAATACAAAAAATTCGATCATTTCCTGGAGTAGAAATCAGGAAAACTCAAGATCCTATCCTTACCTGGAGTAGAAATCAGGAAAACTCAAGATCCTATCCTTACCTGGAGTAGAAATCAGGAAAACTCAAGATCCTATCCTTACCTGGAGTAGAAATCAGGAA